AATTTAGGAATTGGTGGATTCTGCATTCGTCCATGCAATGCCTTGAACTACAGCGAATCAATCACAGAGACACTTCTTTTTTTTTTGGCGGGGGGGGGGGGATCAATATGACGGCTGCCTCCTTGCCTCGAAATGCAATGTTTCATGAATAAATGAACCAGGGGTCATCGTTCTAATACCCTCGTCAGAGCGAGTTGGGCTTCCCATGCGTTCAAACACATCGCACAGCCAACAAACCTGCGCCAATTTTTGCGGCCAGCACAGGTCCCCACCTTTGGAGGGGGAAAGTTGCTGTACCGCTGCAGCCCCTTGGTGGAAGACTAGCAAATGTTTCGAGGGTGCTTCTAGTGTAGCTCCCACTGATGCCAAATGACGCCCGCGATAGATGGCTCAATGCCGTGCCATCCTTCACTATGGGTGTGGGGCCGCGCATTGCCGATTTAATCAAAGTAGTGGAGAGTATCATATGGGCCCATGGGGAGGTGGGCGCCGTCCTTGGGTGTGGTCAAAGACTGTGCACGCACATGTTTCTCTCCTTTTATATGCGCTGCTACAATCACCTAAACTTCTTTAGTTGTAGTTAGGGGTGATGGATGGGAGCACAGTCTGGGCCAATGCGTCCATGGGTTCAATGCCCGATTCAGTTGCTCCGGCATGGGCCTCCCACCAGCAACCGGAAGACGACACTGCTTTTCAGAGTCGCCTCGGAGCCTTCACCTAGTATGCAAGCCTGCTCTACAATGCCCACAGGGGATGTAGCTTCCAGTGGGTGTGGGTGGGTTCTAGGAAGGGCCCGACAATCTATCTCGGCAATGTAATTGTCGACTTCACATGCTTTCCATACCTTTCCATTTTTGCTGCATGATGCTTGACATTTGGCACGCCATTTATTTGCATGTTTGGTAGCCGGTTGGATGTTGCAGTCAGTCCCAATACAACATGCACTCGTATGTCCCCCTTGCACGGCAAATGACTATGAATTTGCTTGCGACAGTGTTTGGGTGATACGAGGCATCCCATTGCCAAGCAGTGAGGGTGCCTGTCAGGTCCACTCGCTCAGGAAAGACAATGCGAGGCAGTGCGCCATTGCCACATGGCGCACTTTTCTCCTGCATGGCAAGTGGACCCCCCACCTCCCCACCTCACCTCACCCTTGCTCTCCTTCATGACATTCTCTCTCTTGATGCTTAGGACTCCGCCACTGGGGCATCGAACATTCATTGGACGCTGATGTGTTCTTCTTCTCTGATTGTTTGGAAACCCTACATCGATTTTTGCTGGAAAAGGGTCCTGCTGTGCTTTGCTATTCGTGGGGGAGCTCCTCTATTTGTATCATAGTGTAATACATTTGGAATTCAAGTCAGCTAGATTGCAAGAGGTCTGTTTTTTTGATTAATTTTGTCATGCTGGTGGCATTTGCCACGTCCTCCCCAACGCCGTTGGTCTGCACCACTGGAGGCCTTCGTGGCGTGGGTTTCGGGATGTGGGTTGTGAGATGTGAGCATGTTTCTTGTGAAGGCTGTATCGGAAGAAGGACAAAGCTGCTGTCGATTGCTGTCAACGCTGTTCAATCACTGGCCTCACCGGCAGCGTCCAGGGCTTGGGTGGTTTATGCGAATAGAGGGGCTGCGCCGCTCGTGTACCAGCCACTGCTCCAAAGAACATCGACCCCTTTGTTGTCTGCTTCTTTGCATGCTTATGGCATCGTGGTCAGTCGTTATGCGTCAGTGGGCAGCTATCTGGCGGTCAGACCCACGGCCACCCAACCATAATCAGAGACGTTCACGTCAATTCTTCTGTGCGTCTGGGCGATCCTCGGACGCAGCTGCGTCACGGCAACGTGACGAGCATGCTTCTTCCTTCAAAAGCTGCAGCGTGGTGCATGTATGGAGGTGTGATCATCCAAGGTGGAAGTGGCTGGACTGACATGCCTTGCCAGTGAAAACACGACGCCCTTGCAACCGAAATGTGATGTTTCCCAGTTGTTTGTTTTCGTTCTCAAATCACCTCAAAGCTTGAAGCGGGTCAGAAGCGCTGTCTGTGCATAGGGCTGTATTCTGTTACCTACATGGGGAAGCACCAATGGCCAGGGCAGCGGGCCCGCATTAGTGACAGAGGTGTGTTGGGAGGGGGGCGTTCAGAGGCTGACAAGCATGTCCCCCCTTTATGCGACGCAATCTTTGTGCAAGGGCTGTGCGTGAACGATACATGTGCTGGACAGTGGATAGCTGTGACTTCTTGCTTTGGGTAGCAGCCACACAGGTGCCCAAGTTTCTGAGGCCCGCGATTCACTGCACTCTGCGGGTACACACACAAACGAGAAGAGTGAGCGAACGTCTCAGGTTGCCGGGGCCAGCAAGCAAATGAGGAACAACTGCATTTGCATTCCAATAGACATCCAGATGATTCATCAGGTATTCCATAGATCATATTCAAAGCGTCCATATGGCGCCCTCGCTCAAACAGAAGCGACTGGCCCTTTCGCCTCCTGACAACAGCCCGCAAGGCGGTGTAGTTGGCATGTCGCAGCGGAGGTACGGAATGCCAGTTTCGACAGCCAAACAAACCCGACTGGGAATAGGGCCAACGGGATGCGCCGCTGCTTGGCGTGCAGCGTTCAGATTCGCCAGGGTGTTCTCGTGGGAGGGCGATTGGGTTGATGGCAACCGAAATGCTAATCGAGCAAATACGCTTACCGGAATCGGACACAGGCGGGTATGGCACTGAAAGCCCTCGGTCTAGCAGGGCCGCGCCTCACCATGCTCCTTTAATACTCCCCTTGGAAGAATCCTCCTCAGAAATCTCAACGCCGGCAACACCAAAGATCCGCACCAATCCTGGTCCAGGCCGCTAGCTCAGCCGCCCGGCGAGGCGCATTGCTGTGTCATTGGCCGGCCCGGCCTTCTGTTCAGCTCTTGTTCAGCCTTCACTTCTTCGGGCATTGCCCTGCCAACATGACGTGGCCCAATGCGGCCGCCCCTCAGAATGGCACAGCCCCCCTAAACAACTCCCCAGTACAGGTGAACAGCCGCGACGGCTGGTGGGGTGCAGTCTGGGGACCGGCCAGTCGGTTGAGCATCTACAGCACAGAACAGTCGATCACTGCCGGTAATCGCGCGTACAACGGCCTCAAAGACTCAACAGGCCCTGATGCATGTTTCGCACAACCTTGCCACCAATAGGTTCGAGCACGGGTTGCGAAGGGAGGGTCTTCACTCAGCCAGCCAGCTGAAAACAATACCCATGAAACAGACTTGTCAATTCTCCGGGCTAGAACGCCAGACAGTGGCTCAACCACCCGTTCCAATGCTACAGGCTCGACAGTAACGTTCCATGACATTGCGAGTTCCAATGGCTACGTGGGCAACACTCCCAGCAACGGCGAGCGATGCCAACACCGCTTCAGAACATCCCTCTATGCAAACCTGGCAAAACGCCCGCCATGCTGGGGACAGCAAGTGTTATTTACGGCATTGGAGCGGACAACTACAGCAGTAGAAAATCTTACTGTCGCAGCAGCATGGATTTCGCTTCAGACTCGTGTGATATGCCTAGGCTGGGGATTGATGCGGAGCGAGCTGCACGGCCATACGTGGCAGTCACACCGTGCTCTTGTCGCTGGCACGCCTCCTCACGCGCGATGAACATTATACAGAAGCTTGGGCAGGCAACGCACGCTGTGCCACCCAGGCATTTGACACAGCCCCAGTACATCACAACCGCAAGCAGCTTCAGATCACTCCAAGGTACTTCTGTTCACAGACATGACACTCCGAGTTGCCGTTCCGTTCACCACTGACGGTGCATTTGCAAAGATGCGTCAGGTACCATTTGACTGCGTTTGAAAAGCAGCTCCGGCAAACAAAGATGGGGAGGGGGAGGAGGCAAGGGGAGCACTAAGGCCAGCCCATAGCATCTCTGCAAAGCAACAGGACTTCCCTAATCGAATGCTGTGCTATATCGCGCGATGCCAATGAATATGCAACGCTTCGGCGACAGAGACCACTGCAGGGTGGAGAAATGGTGCAAACGGCTGCCCATTGCAAATGCAACTTGTCCAGATATTTGCCACGGCACACAACGCGGTGTGAAGCTGGACACGCTGCGGGATGGCTGTGGTTGAATACAGTCAGCCGTCCAACCAGCGTGCGCCTGAACACCACAGTTCTAATTCCACAATCATGGACGCAGGGCCAGTGCGGCGCTGTTCAATTTGAAGAAAGGCGCCCAAATAGGACGTCATGATGCGAATTCCTTCCCGTGGTGGCCATGGATTGGGGTACAGCAGAACACGGCATCGACCTGGGCATGTAATGGTAAGCAGAGAAAGGGATTAGGCCCGTTTGCAGACCTTGCAAGGCCTCACGCCCAGAGGTTGTGCAGTCATTGATCACACTGTTGCTCGACCAGATGCCACCTGCCCCTGCGCTTTGGTCCTTTTCGGCCAAGGGGGTGGGGGGTGGGGGGTGGGGGGTGGGGGTGGGGGTGGGGTGCAGAACCTACCAGACTAATAACTCTGCTGTGAAGCAAGCAGGCCAATTCCCTCTGGATGTTGTTCGGGTGGTGATGCGCATGTTTGCAAGGGCGGTTATGATGACCTTCGCCATTGGTTCTGGAATCAGCACTCAAAGGTGTATGTGGCCCCAAGCAAAATCCGCGTGGCATGCAACATCAGGGGTAACGGGAAGTGGAAGCAGCAGCTGAAGCGAGGGCAGGTCACAGCAGGTTGAAACGCGAAAGCTATTTTGGCCTTTCGACTTACACGGCATCTATCCCGTTGTCCCCCACACACTATGCTGCACCACCTTGGCCTGGCCACACAGAAAGGTGGCACGTTCTGCATGTCTTGGCACATGTCGCACTTGTGCTCGTCCTTGACCTTTGGGTCGCGAAATCGTCAGAGATAAACTACCAGTTGGGCAAAACCATGCAATCAGCGCATGAAGGGAATGTCCCCCCGCTGAAGATGCAGTTCTTGTGTGCCCTCTCCGCTCCTTGCTTCACCACATTGGTGGCGGCATGTGCTGGTGTGGCGGAGGCTGGCCCTGACCTGCCACAAACCACCACGTTTTGTATTGACTTCGCCCAACAGATGTGCAACAAACAAACGGAGTAGCAAAGGACAAGACAATGTCCAGCCCAGGCACAATCGTCTGCAAAGGCACCATCTTGGGCTGCGATGGCATATGCAGTGCAAGGTGTGCATGAGATCGCTGACAAGGCAAATTGTGGCCATCAGAACATTCACTCAGGAGGTTTTAGGATAGCACAACACAAAGTCAATGCCCACAAGTCACGCAGCTCAGCCCAGTACCCAATTTGGGCCCAACAGCGCCTGCGAGTCTGCATGCAGCATCAAAACCATGGAATGGCTCCTCCCAAATTGGTCAACGCCAGGCAATCAGTGAGAAGCACATCATGCTAGTCATCACTTTTGTGGTGCTACACTATCCTGTCCAGAAAAGGCAACATTCGAGCCTTCCGCGGAAGCAAAAGGAATATCTTAAATTGAGATTCAGTTCAGGCATGCCTCCCACATCTGCGCAACACAGGAACAACCTGAAACCCACACAGACATTGTTTGGCATTAGTAATTGTCAGCAGCACTCCACAGTGTCTCGCTTCACTTGATCTCTAATAAGGAGTCAGACCCACCAGGAGCTCACCTGGGTAACAATACCCAGGAGGGGGGTATTGGTAACCGTAGCCAGAGCCGTCAGCCAGCCACTCTGCAGCAAAGGGAGCTGCCTGGTTCGCTGTTGGCTCTTGGTAGGATCCCTGCGGTGGCAGGGGCGGCTGTGCTGGATCATCCCCTGGTGGCGGGAGGGGCGGCGGCGGGGGAGAAGCTTCTAGAGGCAGGGGGGGGTTGTCCACGGCTGACGGCGAGTCAGGAGGGAGTGGAGGCGGGTCCCCCTCGGGCAGTGGAGGAGGGGAGTCATCCGGCAGAGGAGGCGGCAGGGGGGGGGGCGGGGGGGATTCGCTGGGCAAGGGCGGTGGGCAGGACACCCCGCCCAATGGGTAAACAGAAGGCAGAGCTGGCTCAGTGTGCTGACCAGCCACTGGCATGCCATCGGGCTGTGATCCGCCGGCAGTGCAGTGGCCTGCATCAGCAGTCTTATTGCTGTTGGGCAGGGTGGAATCCAGAAGCCCCACGTCTCCCAGCTCCACGTCCCCGCTTCCAATGTCTGTTGGCCCAGCCTGCCAAACACCAGCCTCGCCCTGTTGACTGCCAAGCGGGTCCACCGCTTCAGACTCATGCAGGTGAGCAGGGCTAGGCACTGCCTCCTTGGCAGTCAGGTAGTAGTCCCAGCTGCCAGCATCCGCCTTCATGGCACCCAGCGCAAACCACTCTTCAGACCCCACGCGCGGCACATGATTCGTCTGCTCCATTAGTGCATTGCTGTTGTCAGGTATGACGACTCTCATGGTGCCTTCCAAATCGAAGGGGTCTGGAGTTGCGACTTGTGGGGCCGACCTTCCAGGGGCCAAGACCTGCCCATGATTGCCACCTCCCTGGGCATCCCCAACTCCCACCATCTGCTGCCTTGATGAGCTCACATATCCAGGATGAAGGCCAGATGATGGAACCATGTGTGACCCTGGCCAAAGAGACTCGATCCCAGGTATGGTGTGCGTCTCGGTGCCTCCATGCCTGTCTGGATAATGGCTTTCCAACTGCCTTGGAGTCCACATCCCTGGGGCAATCTCCCAACCGTCGTCGTCAGCAAGGTATCCAATGTCCCAGTCGCTGGGAGAAGCGGGGTGTCGCAGCCTGTAATGCATACCCAAAGCAGGGTCACCTTTGCCTATCGATCCATACTGATTGAACAGCACCACCCTTCGAGTCTTGGCACCCAACAGGTCTGTGGGAATGTGCGCCACACACATTTCCTTGCCCTGGATCTTCAGCACGTTTAAGACCTCCCCAAAACGGCCCCTCACATCCCTCAACTCCTCCATCGCCGGCTGCATCACCTTGACTGGCAGGATCTCACGGGAGTCCCAGATGTTCAGGACCTTTTCTAGCTTCCGAAAACATTCGATGTCGTGGCCCATCGAGCTGATGATCTTGTTGAGCGCAGCGGACACAAGCTTTGGGTACTGCTGCCCTGAAATAGAGTTCCTGCCGCCATTCGTCCTCCCTTCATTCTGGGAGCACTGAAGCACAGAGTCGATCAGGTAGAACAGGTCAATCCTCTTGTCAGCATCTGACTCACCAGCCAGGCTGCCCACCAGCATCCTCATGATCGTCGGCGCATGGGCTGCCTTGGCCAGTGCGAAGCTCGTCGTCCTCCCGATGCTGTCCTTTGTCCGGGAAAGCTTCTTCAGCTTTGCATCGAATTCCTTCTCCACCTTAGCCTTCTCAGAAGCCTCGCTGTCCTCATGGAGCTCAGAGGGGATTCGTGCTAGGTGTGTGATCATGTCAGAGCCAGCCTGCGGGGGCTTAGCCGTCTGACTGTCCACGTCCAAATCCTCTCGGTGCACGCCACCAACTGCAGAGAATCTAGGTGTGATGATATGGGTCACTGAAGCCTTGGGCTGCACAGCGTCGACCTTCTTCGGGGTCCTTGACATTGCAAGGCCATCCACAGCCAAACCGTACTGCCTTGTGCTGCCTTCTGCCTGAAGAGCCAATGGGCCCTTCGTCGGGGGACATGGGTCCACATGGATGGGTGTCTGCCGTCTACTGCATTCATTCTGGTCCTGCAGCTCAGCACCAGATTGACAATTAGCAGGTGTCATTCTGGAGACCAAAGGACTGGATGCACACCTGTGGACATCTCCAGGAAGACCAATTCCTATTTGATCAGGCGTTTGATGTCCACTGTCAGTCCCTGTCATGGTAAGCTTTCCAGCATCCTTGTCGATCGACAGCCTGCCAAGCTCAAGACCTGCACAGGGCCACATTTCACCATTCTCTATTTCCAGGAGGTGTCCAGATGCTTGGGTATCAAAATCCCCAGGTGCGGATGTTCTTGGCGATGCAACTGTTCCGCCATCAGCCCATGCCTTGATGCCACTGGCCCCAGGAGGACCCCGCTTGCAAGGCCTTCCAGCAGCCACCAGAGACTCACATCTCCTCACCTTTTTTGGCCTGTCATCTGCACTCAAATCTGACTTGTCCTCATCATGGACAGTTTGTCCCTGTTTGACCTTTCCGCACGAATCGATGTCCTCTGCAGCACTCGCAGCATGTGCCAAAAGCTTCACAACTCGGTTTTTGCCCAACACCTTCTGGTCATTGACTGCCTGTTGGCAAGGGCTTCTGGATGCCTTTTCCAGCTGCATCAGCTCCTTGCCCAATTCCTTGCTCCTGCTCCTAGTGAGCCTCGCACCAGCACGTCCCTCGGCAGCTGGCACTGCTCCTTTCACAGTGCCATTCTTGGGCCGCCCTCGACGTCGCTTCTTTGATAATCGCTGCACTGGAGTTTGTTTTCGTTCCCCTGGGTCCAAGTCATGGCCCTCCAGCGATGATCCAGGCCTCTTCTCAAGCTGCCCTCGACTCCTTGGCCTGCCAACCCTCCTCTTCTGTACATTGGGTACAGCTTCTGTCACCCCTTTCACCTTGTCCGAGCCTAAAGTGCCATCCCCATTTGACACCTGCTGGGCCGTCCTGGAGTGTGTTGGGTCATCAGATCCCGTGGGTAAGTGCCCAACCAGGGCGGCTGTCCCCTTGTTGCTGTGCAACACTGAGCGCTCTGGGCCTGCTGCCTGCCCACCAGTCCCAGTGTCGCACACTGCTGGCCTGCCTCCATTGCAGCTCACAGGCCCCACAATGTTGAATGGCGCAGACTTGCCATTGTGACTCCACAGCCCATAATCTGCGGCGCGGATAGGAACAGGGGGCACCAAAGTGCCCAGCATTCCATATGGTGAAATTCCACCATTAGCAGCAAGGAGCATAGGGTCGGCATCGAACCACGTCAGCTTTCGAACAGCATTTCCGACGCTGAACTCACTGTACCCTTTGGCAAATTCACCCCACTCAACATCATTGTCTGAGTAATGTATTTGCCACTTTCGATCTTTGTAGTCCTCGATCCGGCCCAAAAACACGCCTTCATCTCCCCAGTCGGCCTGGAAGAAGCACCAGCCAAGCTTGCATTTCAGAGGTACAAGCCAACAAAGTCAGCTTACAGTAAAGTACCCCTCCAGGTTGACCTTGTCAGTCATTGATACAGTGCCATGATAACAGCAACTCTTTCAGCACTCTTTCAGTTAGGCACTGAGGCAAACCAGATCGGTCGCGCTGCGTGCCAATCTAAAGGACAAGTTCTGTGCTTTGTGGCAGCCCACACCAACACGACAACTCTGGTGGCAGTTCGATGCAAGTTCAGCAGCACTTGCACTTCAAGCAACCGCTTGGTTGGGCACACCCGAAGGCAGCTGAGGGGCACCCAGCTGAACGATCGCCGTCCCCCCTGAGCCAGCTTTGAATGCGCAGCGACAACCAAGCGGAGGCTGCGGGCAATGCTCTCTTGCAGACGCCTTTCCATAATGACAACCAAGCAAAGGTTGCGGGCAGATCTCTCTTGCAAACGCCTTTCCACAGATTGCACGGGGCCACCAGACTCGGGACCAACCTCCAAACAGAGAACGAACTTAACATCTCGAACATCCCTCCCCTGCGGCTGACCTTCACAGCCTTCCCCAGCAGGGGAAGATCGGCGGACCGGCCCCGCCCCCTCCTGTCCCTCTGCCTGGGTCCCTGCCCGAAGGCGTACTGCACCATCTCCCAGGAGCTGGGCACCACGCCGCCACACCTAAACCTCAGCCGCTTGTTGTCCTCCGTCAGGAAGGCATCCTCGCAGAAGCAACCAGTTTCCACGTCCTTCTCTCCGCTGGCGAAGTCCACGCGGTACTGGCCGTCTTTCCGATAGTACCCCGTGATGAGTCCCGGTTGCCAATCACCGGCGTCTTCGTAAAACAGCTGCGGGGTCAGGCAGGGGCAAGACTTGTTACAAATCGGCGAAAGCAAAGGGCACCCCCTTCCAGGCAAACGCATGCGAGGCTCTTGGGGCGGGAAGGGAGCGCATCATTCGGAGGCACTTCCAGGTCGGGGTTCGTCAAGCACGGACACGCAACGAGGGAGTCGAGAATCGAGCCAACGATCGTCGCAACGCACGGAGGACAGGCGCGATCGCGCGGCCAAGGCCAAAGCAAAGGCAACCGCCAAGGAAAACGCGCGACAGACGATGCAAAGCCAGCAGCCTTTGGTGGGCTCCCCGGCCTGGAACAGTCACGCCACCGCCAAGGGCTGCCCGCTGTGGCCAGGCGCCTCCGCGAGGCGCCTTGCTGGCAAAAATCGGAGGGCGAAAGAGAGATTGGGGTGGCGGGGGCGGGGTGAACACATCAATCCGGGCATGCGCACCTCGACTTTGTAACCCACGAGCTGCTCAGGCGACAGCCCTGCCGGCATCGCTGTCATCGCCGCCCCGGCCGACGCCTATGCGCCCCGACCTTGCGCTGACGACTGGTCGGCAGCCCAGTGCTACCAGGAACGGTTTCTGAGCAGCGTACGGGCAAGCACGGAAGAAGGGGGGGAGGGGGGGGGTCGTGAGCTGCTCAAGTCCCCCGCATCGCCGGCGGAGGACGGGAGGGGTGGGAGGCCGTGGCGAGGCGCGAGGCCATGGTGGATCCGGCTGGGTGGGCGCTGGAGGGCAACTGCTTTGGGGAGGGAAAATTGTACCGCAGTTTGCTCCGTGTTTCTGCATTTTTGAGCCTTTTGAGTCGCCTTTCTGGGGCCTGAGAAAGGCGACTCAAAACTCCAAAACGCAGAGGAATGCCCCGGGGTTGTTCCTCTGGAATATACGCAGCGAGCGTCGCCCAGTACTTGCCGCATGGCATCCAATCTGGAGGGCCCAAGCGTCGGGTTGCTGGGCAGAAGTATTGGATAAGACACAGTGCTGCCACTTGGCAATATTGATCAATATTGATGTGAACTGAATCCCAAAGAGACGGCGGGTATCGGGAAAGGGCATGCTCAGCTTGGGTACCTGTGGCTACATTTCTCCCCTGCTGTGGCTACCATTTCATAATCGTATTAACGGTCCTTAAGCCCCAGACTTCAAACTTTGCATCAATACAAACAACAACATCGTCAATATCTACGTATCGAACATTTCAATCGATAATTCAAGAGCGTTGCTGTTGCCAAAAGTTTGTGGTGGAATTCAGGTGCTATCAAGCTTTCATCGGAAATGTAACACAGCAAGGTGATCACGAGTGAGCACATGCGACAGCCATGCCGCTGTTCTCAGAACGCACAAGCTCACTTCACACGGCAGCACGAGGTGGGGTTGCGCATGCTGCGAACAAGCGTTAGGGTATGTTCGGCAGCTCGGTGCTGGCAGCACTTACAGCCCCCATGTCAATAACAAATGGCACAGCGCGATTGGATGGGTGTTGCTGACCCAGCCTCAATAGCATACACCGCAAGATGAAAGATGTAAGGTGGAGGGTTCGTTTTGATTAGGACAGTGCAGTTGAGGGTCAAAAATTGCAGGAATCTGCAAGAAGATTGGCAGTGTTAATCTGAAACGACAGGCTTCCGATTCAGGCAATGGCACTGTCATTTTACTCATGGCAACTCTGAACTACCCACCTGCAGTTTTGATATTGATCATACCTTTGTCTAGATACTGTCAGGCACAGATTAGAGAACAGCAAGTTGCCAGAAATACTCAACAGAAAGAAACACTGGCTTCTTCACTCGCTCCCATGCAAACCTGCACCAGTGGAAACCGATATTCTTGCGATGCAAACTGCGATGCCATTTGACACTAATTGATGGCATCACACGCGCGTTTGTGCCATCGCAAGGACCGTGATGGAGCCACTTTGTGTCAAAATGGCATCGCAGTTGGCATCTCAAACACGGTGTTTTCTGATAGTGCTGTTGAAATTGGTGCCTACTGTTGCCGGGGTCAAGTGCACATACCAGATCAGCTGGATACACGCAAGATCGATACCACCTGCCATCAATTTTATGCAAGCACAGTGCTTCATCACTCTGTCACAAATTAGCCAGACACATGACAAAACAGTTGACAATCTCCTGCACACACTCACTTGTTGAATGTGTCCCGCTTGCTCTCGTTTGGGAATGGTGTTGGCCATGTTGCAATCACAAGCAATGCAATTCATTGCCCAGGCCATGCTGTAATACGTGGCTCCTGAGCCTTTCCAATAATGTCGTGCCCTTAGCAATGTCTTGTCTTATCCACAATTGCAGTCAATAGCATTGTACAGTAATCAACAGTGGCAAAGTCTGCCGCCCCTAAGATGCCAACTTCCCTGGTAGATTGCAACAGACCAGAAAGAGGAGGGAGCATCATGCACGGAAGACCATCCACACATCGTTGATGATCTGTGGCAGCCACATTTCCCCTGCATCAACCTGACTTTTGACACCAAAGGGGGTTAGTCAATTGGACAGCATCAGTGGCCAGAATCTCTTGGCCTATCAGGTGCAGTCTCTGTGTCTGCTGGGCCATCAAGTAGCAATCCAAAGGGATCAAGGCTGCCAGTTCGCTGAAAAGTCAAAGCGTGTTTTACAACTAGCATACACTCAACTACATTAAATGCCCACCTCCACCTCCCCATCCTATGTTGATATGTTATTCGGAGTCCATCCTGCTCTGGTTACATTCTTCAGTCTGCCTGCCTATTAGAGTCTCAATGCAGAGTGGCTATTGCCGTGCACACTGAAATGCAATGTCTGAAGTCTGAAACGCATATGTCAGAAGTCTCACACAAGTTTGCGCCTGATTTCCTTGCTGCTGGGAGCCCGCAGAGAAATCCAGCAGAAACTGGTCCCATGCCACTCACCCAATTGCGCACAATCTCCAAGATGCAGCAGCGCCAGACACATGCAACCGCAAGGGTGCAAGAAGCAAGAGTGACTGCTCCCAGCCGGGTGCACGATGGCACTGCCACCCTATGCCCAACAAGAGCTCCAAACCAACTGCGGGAGGGTGCCCGATGCCAACCCGCTTCTTCTGCCTCCGTCGATCATCGCCCTTCTTTCCAAACTGCATCCATTTTCCCATTTTGAAAGTGTATTTTGTCCTGGAGTCCTGCTGGCCATACTCGCTGGACCCTCTTGAGCAAACACTGCTGGCACCCCCGAGACGTCCACCGCATTGCCCAACACCGCCTCACTGCCCACATGGCTCCGCATGAGCGGAAGTGCACTGCTTGCAACAAGCCCCCACACCTTGGCGCACCCTCCAAACTTCCCACCTCTCCCATACCCCGACTCCGATCGGACAACTCCTCGCTCACCGCAAACTGCCAGCCGCAACGGCTGTCTTTTCGATGGACGTTCTGATGACCCCAATCCCTGCAACTCACACCCCATCGCAGGACACAGCATCCGTTACAAACCCCCACCCCCAAAAACCCTGCTTGCGTTGTCTCCCCATCAATTCGCACCGGAGAACACCCCATCATCTTTTCCCAGAATGGAAAGAGTCTCACGCACACTTGCTTGAGAGGGGGCGCCCTTTGCATGACCCGTTCCTTTCTCCCGTTGTAACACATCTCAACCCCAAACCCGCCTCAGTACTTGTTTATCCCAAACAGGCGCACGCCGTGCATCCCCGGCGTCTTGGCCACCAGCAGCGCTACCACCAGCACCAGGTTCAGCAGCAGCGGCTGCTGCCTGAAGTCCGACCCGTGCGTGGCCAGCAGGAACAGCACCAGGGGCACCACCGCCAAAAACTTCCGAGTCCTGGTCCCCTGCTCCCCGTCGTCCAGCTGCTCCCAAAAAGTGTGACCGTCCCACATGCCCTGATCCTCCTCGATCGGCGATCCTTTAATCCAATGCATCAGATAGAATGTCACCACACCGTGCAGGAGGTGGACGTAGGTCCAGGCGAGACCGGGGCCCATGATGGCCGAGAAGGCCAGCCATGACAGGGCGATGAGGCCCAGGTACCACAGCCAGGCGCCCTGGGCGTTCAGCCAATTAGTGTTCTTGTTCACGCGGACCTCCGAGACGGTGCGGGAGTGGGGCATGGCGCCTGCGGCGAGCCGCCTTGCCGCGGGTGTGGGGGGTCGCTTTGCGGCACAGGGGGTGGTGGACTTTCCCCGTTGATTCCGACGCATTTCTGGATTTTTGGGTCCTGCAGCTGGTGGGAAGGTGCTCGCGGGTGGCTTTTTTCGGCTTTGGGGCACTTACGTTTCTGCCTCGCCGGTCTCCTTCAACCCCCTCCCCACCCCCGTGTTCCCCACACGACAAGACATTACACTCTCAAGTGTACTGGCGTACATCACCTCACTAATACAAGACCCGATTGGCGACCCACCTGCAATGTGCCGCTCGCTTCGCATAGTACTTAATGCCACACTGACGGTAACTCAACCCTGAGTCAGCTATTCTTTTCTCGTGCTCAACCCCCTCTGCATCCCACAACTAACCGAAACTCACTCTGCCGCGTGGGTGCGAAACAACATAAAGGGGGCGCCAAGGGTCACGTCCAAAAAGCCGTTCCCACTTACCGTCCAACCTCCCGCCAAACCCAAGGGCCAGCTTGACTGGCCCCCTTGTCTACGCTCACGTTACAAAGATCACCCCGTGCCCCTTGGATCTAGTGGTCAGCGCTGACCCCGGGTACAAGGGTGACAGAAACTAGTAGTTGATGGCCCTGGAACAGCCCCGAAGGACCGACGCGCCCATCCAACGTCGCCCTTGGCAGAAACTCATTAACACGGTAGCTAATTACATTTCCTTGCGCTTGATATGCTGGCGAGTACGGAAGCGCATGACCCCTTGTGCTGACAGCGCTGTGATTAAACTGTGGCCCCTTGGATCAGTGTCAACCGTCCCTGGGGCAGCAAGTGCGCAAGATCGCGGCCAACTTAATTGCGGAGATTTCTGTGACGCTCTGTGAATATCCCTTCGGCGAAGGCCGCACAGATCTGTCTGCTTCGTTTCGGAACGGGTTCGGGGTCTTTCAGCCTTTTGGCTTTCTGTGGAGATGATGCGCTTAGTGATTGTCTGTTCCCCTCCTCGCGGTGCGCTCCCTCCTGTATTTGTCGTTTCCATCCAAGATCTCTGCCATGTCGTAGGTGATGTGGTGTGCAACTTAATCTTGTCCGATATGTCTTTGCTCTGTGCAATTTGTGTGGATTTTCTATCAGGATGTGTGCGCACCCACTGTGCTGCTAGCAACATTAGCGCTAATGTTAATAAGTATTTATTAATTTATCGAGTAACTTGATACGAGCCTCTTTCCGGCGACTGTCGATTCGACACATACACGATATCTTCGGCATTGCTGAATCAATTCCATGATCCCAGCAGATAAGTATGAGCTTGTCGACGACAGCACAACGTCTGAGTCCACATCCGCGGTGGATGGGAAGATCAAGGATGAAGAGTTTGAAGTTGCGGAGGCCAGAGCTGGTGTGGAGCAAAAGGAACCCCAGCCACGAAAATTGAGGAATGCGATCTGCTGCAGGAAACCTTAGGGAAGACGCTATGTCGATTTGTGTATGCTTAGTGCTAATTGGACGTTAAGCCCAGAAACCCCCCTCCCCACCCACCCACCCCTCCCCTAGCATCAATCCCTGTGTCGATGCCAGGATGACACAGCAATCTTACATAACAGAGCTAGACAATTTCAAGGTGTTTTTAAGGAACATAAACTTCGAACATTGTGGCAATTGTAATGCGCTGAAAAATGCGATGATAAATGCCATTTCAGTTGACTGGGGCAGCCCCGATGGCTGTCTATTTGGGGTATTCTGGATTTTTCATAAAAGTCTGAACGCTTGAGGGGGGTTTATGGAACAAGGCATGAGCCGTCTGCCTTGAATGGTGTTTTTTATGTATAAGATATATCTTCAGACGTTATGTCGAAATTGTGTTAATTACATAACAGTGCCTTCCCTTACTTGGACCAGGACACTTGCCGGTGCGGGACAGAGTGAGTGCTATTCTCGAGCGGCTGAGTTACTACTCTATATGCTTTCAAGAAAATTGGTGCAAGCGAGTATTGTAAACTACCAGGCTTATACAGGGCCCAGTAGCCTACAGCACTTGCTTGGATATGTACCAGTGTTTCCCAGGGGAGTTTGCTCATGTCCATCGCGGTGCGCTCTGGAGGAAATTGTAAGAGGTTCTAAATCTTGGGAATAAGTTAGGATGGAATCTGGATGGGACGCAATTGGTCGGCGATTGGATAAACGATTTACCTATGATAACGCCATACATGCACCATATATTATCATCTAGTTAGATGGCGACGTAATGATGACAAGATATGAACCTCGCCATGGTATGTGCCACTGCTTCTGGGTATCGATGGATCCCTGGCGAAAGAAGCCGTAGTGATGGCCGAATTTGGCAGCAAAGTTCTTTGGAACATGTTTGGCCTCGTCCTTGTTTCTCTGTTCAACACTATGTGTTTCAATGCAGTTTGTCGTAGCTACCACACGAGCGCTCTCGTCAACTACCCTCCCCAAACCACAGTCAAAATCTAGGAAGACAAGAAAGGCGGCAAATGCATGTGCGTCTACTAGACCGTGGTCTAACGTGACGCCCTAAAGCGGCCCTCATGATGATCTTTAGATACTCTCCATGAAGGACACTTGGGTGGGATTTCGAAGAATACCGTGACGGAATCCATTTAGAATTTGTTTGACGCTATTTATCTAATCGCACGGTTAATAAATTCAATGCAGACAAATGTGGGTCTGATATATACGTTTCGTCAGACTATTTTTGGCTGGGGTGGGAAACTCGGTCACTGCGATTTGTACTCGATTTTGTGTAACTTCGGGTCAACTTACTTCTGGTCATGTTCGGTGAGGACCACATGCCAACAACGGCTGTCGTTTGTGTCAGAAGCATATCGGCTTTCAGCCAAATGTGCCGCTGACTCAGTTTTGGCAACCCGGGAACATAGCGCACTGTTGGCTCTATCCCTGCGATAAGCAAGCACACCCTCCCTCTATTTCACTCTACCTGCAGCTGCGCAATTATGCAGGGCACGGGTTGTTCGACTGAAGACAAAGAATCTTATCATTCTGTTTTAACCACAGAAGAAGAAACTCTTGGCATTTGGACTTTGGCGTGATTGCCCTGGAGCATGCTCCTCATCGATGAAGAGCACACTTGACTCAGCGTGGTGAATTGCCGTTGTCATCTGCAAGGCACATGGGAACCATTTTGCCTCCTCAAACTTAGTTTTGAAGGATTACACTGCTACCGCCATAAGTACTATAGCATCGCGGCCTTCAGGAGACTGCGCTCAACGAGTCGGTCGCTCAACTCATTCGATTTCTTGGCCTCAATGTATTGGAAGTCGCCAACCCCGTTCACCACCTTACTTGTCGCATGTCCTGGATACAGTCCCCGCAGTACCTTCTCTCACTTTACAACTTCAAGGGGAAGTAACCTGCCCTTGCTTGGCCCAGGCAAGTGTCAGTACTTTATTAGAATGTGTATCCCATCGAATGCCACTGGTTGCGCACAAGGTATAGGACAACACACACATTACATGTAAATTGCCCCTTATGTACAGTGAGGTGCGCAGTTGGCCATGTGGTCTCCCGTCCCTCTCCGTGTGGGTTGAGGATTTAGGTCAGATTTAGGTTTTCAGGCTTTTTGGATTTTTATTTTTAGGTTTTCTGGATTTTTATTTTTAGGTTTTGAATTTTGTCTGATTTTTAGGTTTTGAATGTTTTGAAGTTTTCTAGGGTAGATGACAATGTTAGGATTTAGACTGTGCAGGGTTTAGTTGCTGGTCTCGGTATGGGCTTCGGTACCGCCTAATGTCTGTGCACGTCCTCATCAATGCAGACCACGTGCATCTCCTCGCCCTTCCACACTTCGTTCCCAGGTCACCTAATACTGAAAGCGACACAGAATATATTGCGACCCCACTGATATATCGCAATGTTCCTGGCGTACAGTGCTCGTACTATACCCCCAACCCCACCAAGTTCTATTACCTTGCCAGCAACACACAACGGGCCGTCAACAGCCTCTCTCTCTCGGCCTGTCTGGCCAAAACGTTGAATAATGCGACTTGTCCAATTATCGCCCCAGCAAGCAACCAAAGCAGGAGACGCACTGACGAAGGCAGGTCGGGTTGAGGGATGGCGACCCCTGGCTTAGGACCACAGGCTCGAGTACACAGCAGCGGATAACAGCTGAGCAAAGGGACAACATGAATTTGTCCATGAAATCCGTTTTTTTGGCCCTTCAGTGTCCTTAATTCAGTCCCTGTTGTCTCATCGCCTCTTAATGCCTCCAACCACTAACAATACTCGATCAATTCTGGTTACAACAGCGCATTCCTCCGCGCTTCCGTAATTCAGTCCCTGTTGTCTCATCGCCTCTTAATGCCTCCAACCATTAACAATACTCGATCGATTCCGGTTACAACAGCGCATTCCCCCGCGCTTCCGTACTCTCCCTGCCTAGGCGTTTCAATACGCAAAGTCGGATGGAATACGGGGAGACCCCTGCAGCGATGCAGTACGCTGAAATGGTTGCCACCTGTCCAATGTACTGTACTGACTGGCCCGTGGCCGTGCTGGGCGTGGATCGCTTGTTAGACCAGTTGTCCAGAGACGACTTAGACGAATTGGCCGGGAACCCCGTGGGGCACCAAGTTCCACTGCCTTTCCAGAACAACCGCCTTCCTGCCTCGTCTCGGCCTTCGCACCGAGGAGCGGAACCTGGACCAGAAGCCTCCAACGATGCGGAGCCCGCCCAGGCTCAGCCCATCGTCCTTACCCCTTCCCCTCCTGCCCATCGCCATCCCCCTCATCCTCTGCATCTCCTTCTGCACCACCTCGAGCTGCAGCCGCGTCGACCTCCAAAGGGGGACAACCGCCAACGATGGGCTGACCCTTTCTGGGCGGAGCCTGGCCCAGGACGAATTCAAAGGGGACGATCTTCCCTTCGTGGCGTCTTTACGGGATGGGGGTGAGCATTTTTGCGGCGGCGTGCTGGTGGCGCCGGATCTCGTGGTAACCGGCGCGTCCTGTGTGACCACTCGAGGGCGCGGCCACCCGAACGTGAGGATCGGATTCGATGAAGCTGGAGGCAATGGCGCCTCTGAGGAGGAGTTTGAGACATGCCGGACGATTGTGCACGGAGGATTCGACGCCGATCGGCTGCAGGACGGCAATGATCTGGCCCTGCTGGTGCTGAACGGGTCGTCGGCAGCGAGGACGGCGGATTTGGGAACGGCGGGGGAGGGGGCGGGGGGGGAGCTGCTGCTGGCGGGATTCAGGCAGGCGCTGGGGCAGCGAGAGGTGGAGTTCCGCGTGGAGAGGATGGCCTATGTGGCGAACGATGAGGTGCGGGGTTCGAGTCGCGGCGCCGGACGCGATTTTCGTCGCCCTTTCGGTGGGAACGGGGTGCGGGGACGGTCGGGGGTTGGATTGATTTGACGCGCCAGGTTGTGGGTGGGGCGGGGATGCGGTGGGCCTCCTGGTTTGTTGGTTGCGACGTCCCTGGGTAGTGCTGATCGCCGGCCGCGTGGGGAGGCGTCTGGCGGGGAGGGTGGGGAGGCTTCACACTGCGTCACACGGGATCACACAGCGGCCTCGTTTCCTGTGATGGAGATGCCGTCGGCGCTGTCGGAGAGTTGGGACAGAGCGGCCCACCAGGAGGCCCTCGAAGCATTCCAGTGATCCCCACCGCGGCTCCCCTTTCGGTGCGTCTGATGTTTCCCGCGCCAGCCCGCGGCAAAGCCAACGCCTGCCTGGCGCGATTGGGTCAGTCACACATTTGGGCGCGGCACCCCCGCGGCGCGAGTCGCTCCCAGAAAGCTTCTCATGGGAGCCGAAGAGTCTTTCCACCGCGAAAGGCGGCTCGAGGTCCCGAGCGCGGTGGACGCGCGCCGACGCGCTCCGCTGCTCTCCACAGCGAGGGGCGTTTGGGGCGCGCAGCAGCGCCGATCAGCGTACCCCGTCTGGGGGGAGAAACATCGATGCCTGGGCAAAGGAGTTTTGACCGAATCGTCCACCCCGTGAAGCACGTCCCCCGGGCTCAGGCACCCACCCTTGGAACGCTTTCTGGGGCGCAATCGGCGCGCCGCGAACCCCACACGCGCCCAGCGCCGCTTCGCCAACGGGCCGAGCTGTGCCCCAGCAAGCGCCACACACACACACACACAAAAAACAAAAAAAGGGAAAAAAGGAGAACTCAAAGAAAGCAACTTCCCCCAAAATAAGAAAGCGAAGAAAACCAAAGCAGGAAATGCAAAGATAGCGCAGAAATCAAATAGACATGCAGAACAACGGCAAGGATTCCAACCAACGCAGAAAATCCGCAAGACAGGGACCGAAAAAAATCCCTCTGAAAAGCAAAGAAAGCGAAAACAAACAACGCGGAAAATGCAAAGAAACCGCAGAAATCACCAAAAATCCAGAACGACGGCAAATAATCCAAACAACGCAAAAATTGCGCAAAAAGCCACAAAAATCTCCCTCTAAAAAACCAAAGAAAGCGAACGAAAACAACATAGAAAATGCAATGGAACCACAGAAATCACCAAAAATGCCAAACGACGGCAAAGAATCCAAACAACGCAAAAAATGCGAAAAAGCCCCAAAAAATCTACCTCCAAAAAGCCAAAGAAAGCGAACGAAAACAACATAGCAAATGCAATGGAACTGTAGAAATCATAAAAGCTTGCAGAACAACGGCAAAGAGTCCAAACAACGCAGAAAATGCGCAAAACAGGGGCCAAAAAGCAAACATAGCCACAAGACAAAACTCAATGAATTTTCAACAGCAGCACACTGCACGCACCCTTGCCCATTCAGCATAGCACGGTTTGACACCGTTTTGTATGCCTCACCCAGTGCCAGGCCCTATGGGAGGACCATCTGGGGATAGCGGACCTCATGCTGGGCAACACGGACAACCTGCTGTGCGCCAGCTCCATCGACGGTTTGGCCGCCTGCAGGGGGGACACCGGCAACCCGGTCGTGACCGCTGATGGGCAGACCCTGGTGGGGGTTGTGTCTTTTGGCCCTCCAAACTGCTTCTCCGTGGAGATACCCTCCGTTTCGGCTCGCGTGTCGGCATTCCTGGACTTCATCGAAGAGCGAGGGGACAGGCAGGCTGTGGTGACGGACAACCCGGACTGCAGTGCCTGAGGATCTCCTTGGCGATCGTGGATGCAGATGGGTGTCGTTAGGGGGATGTTTTAGTTATAGTACTGAGCAGGTCGATGCTGTCAGGTGGCATGCCTTGCACATTTTGGCAGGTGTCAAATCCTGGCAGGAACGAGTCTGGGGGTATCAACAGCTCCTTCTTGCGCTCTGCTGACACTACCCCAAAAATTTGAAACAAGGCTGAGGTTAATACCACGGAGAACAACGCCTCCCTGGGTTGGCTGGAAACTGTATTCAACATGGTACATATAGGACAGTGCAGGCATTAAATCTCTGTGTTTCTATGGATTCACACGAAAGAGTCCAACATCGCCTCTTGGGTGCAGGTACTTGGGGCGCGTTTTCTTCAAGGCATCCAAGTTGGGCCCTGAGCCGTAGAGTGCACAGTTCGTTGATTATGCAAGGCCATCATTCGTTGCCAGCTGGGTTATTGGAACATCGTCCATAAAATGCCTGGAAGGAAAGTAGAGGCACAGCAGAGTGATGTGTGTGAAAGATTGGACACAACATATAAGGGGGGCAGCCCTTTGCAAGTGCCTGCTCTTTGCGGTGGCAACTGTTGTGCACTTTGTCCAATGCACCTGGGGACTTGTGCAGTAGCATCACCCATAGCCTGTGGGAATTGAGTCCCAAACCATGTTGCTCAGCATGTGAATGCCAGTGCGTGGCGTTTTCCCCTTTCAGTCAGGATTTCTTGGCCCCAGCAGCAATGCTTCAATGCCAACCAGTAGATGAGCCAGCATACGACTGGCACAGCATGTCTGGAGGCATGGGGGTTTCGATTCTGGGCTCTACGGTTTTCAGGTTCCATAGCAGCACTTGGGTCAATACATCGCGGATGCACATGGCCCTTTATTGCTCAACAACTGCCTGGTTACAATTTGCCGCCGCAAATCCAGTGCAAAGGACTGTACCAGAGACTTGGCGTAAGTTTTCAGGGCCCTGGTACTGGGGTAGTGGGGCACAAGTAGTAGCACTGGGGTACACTGGTGTAGCACAAGTAGCACTGGGGTAGTGGGGCATTGGGGCCAGGCGGTGGAGCTCAAGACACCCATGATGCAAATGGCAATCGGAATCCCGAGCCCGAGAAGCCCACCGGCACAGACTAAGTCTTGTGCCGTCCGTGTGAAGAGCGCATTTGGTTGTGTACCTATCTTTGGGAGCCATGGAAACGCCTCCACGACACGTGTTGGCCATGGTGCATTCCGTTGGGTCGTGCAATGTGGGTATAGCACGGACGGTGAAACGCACATTTTTGCCGTAACACCATACATAGGAAAACTTCTTCTTCCACACCTCGTGTGTTTTTAACCGCAATTGATTCGAGGAAGCCATCTTAGGCTCGACCTGGGTGACTGCCACCATCATTTCTGCCAATCTGCATCAACACGTTCCGTGGATAAACACCATTTGCGCCGCTGACAGGCTCTCCCAAACTGGCTGCCACACCCCCGTCGCCCCCAAAAGCGTTGAACGCATCGGCGCCCACGACCAGCAGCAACTGGCCGGCGCGCGTCCCATCGTGCATGTCTGACCACACGGGCGGCGAGTGGACAAAATGAACGGACAAGGGACAGAAAACCGTCCCTGGATGTGCACACGCCCTTCATCGCACACAAGAAGCAAGGGGACCCCCTTGTCTTCCGAACGCTATTTCAACAAGGCGACGTCCGTCAAGCCCATCAGCCCTGCAATGCTGGCAAACGCGACCCCTATCCCCCGATGCACCTTTCCAAGCTGCCACTAGGCCTTGTGGTGCTTTCTCGCCCCGGCTGCGGCTGTGGAAAGTGCCCTGGTGGCCCCCGACATCCTGTGGCTTCATCGGAACCTGGAGTTTGCACATTCACGAGCTGTTTCAAACAGAGCTTGTTGGGATCCCCTTCACCGCAAAAGCGGAGCTCACCTTATCGACCGGCCCCAAAACGGGAGCCTTCCGAAGGCCTCAGGGCGTTCCGCGCCCGTCCTCCCAAAGCACCGGCCAGCGGCTGGAACAGCAGCGCGTTCCTCCTGTGGGCGGTGTGCGAGAACATTTCAGTTGCCTGGTCACCATCATTGACGAAGGCAGGCAGGGTCGAGGGGTGGCGATCCCTGAACGGGAATTGTACGCTCGAATCCACGGCAACGGTTTACAGCCGAGGCAAAAGGACAACAAACGTTCTGTCCTTTATACCCAGTCCGTTCATCAACATGCTTGATGCAATTCCTAGTGCTTCGTCATCTTTTCATGCGTTCAGTTATTAATAACACTCAATCAGTTCTAGCCGTAACATCATCACCATTCATTTTTGCATAACAAGTGTCAAGATGGTAATTACATGCCTGCAGGGCAAAGGTGTCCCCTTTCCTCACACAAGACGGGAGCTATGGGGGAGCATAACAAGTGTGGGGATGAAGCACCGAGATGGTACATAGAAACGAACGAGGCTCGGTTGTGAACGAATGAGAGGGGAGCGTATAGTTAATGGGGCAGTTGGAGGGAGCTGCGGTAGAGGTTGTAGAGGCGGGGGTGAGGGGGATGGGTAGCGGGTAGGGACCCTAGGAACGTCGGCGAGCGGACGGGTCCAGGGCGCTGGCATAGAGGATTGTGGATGGGAGGTGGGGCAGAACTGGTATTAGTTGTGGGATCAGAATAGACGTGGGAAGTCATGGTATTTGAGTCGGGGATAAGCCAAGCCAGAATAGCTGGGGCGGCTGGCGGCATGTTCTATTTAGGTGGCGGCCTTCGGACAGGTCAGCCTGCCAGATTTCCATGCAGATGGGCGAGGTGATCAGTTTGTACAAACAACGATTCGTGTAACAATCCATGGGGTCCATGCTGTACCCATCGACGGCAAAGGCAAGGGGTAGCCGACTGTGTGACTGCGCCACCGGGCACCCCCGAGGGGCCGGCCAGCCGTGCTGCAATTCGTTTGCACCGGCACAACACAAGGCAATGAGGCAGCCGTCAGCTTCCATTTTTCCCGAGCAAAGTGCCTACGTAGGCACGTATACGATATCGTATACGATCAGTTCACTGAAATCTAATGCATAGCGCAGACAAAGCGTGGGAATATATTAACTCCGAATGCTAAGACGCGACTGTGGATGATAATGCCTCACCAGAAATTTCCTTGCCTGCTGGCGAGCGTGAACGGAATCAAAAAGGGCTCAATCGCCCAGTCTGCCTGTTGATGATCAATCAATTTCCCCCACGGCGTGTCTCCTTGCTCACGACCCCCGAGGGCAATATGTTGGTCACCCAGTGCTTTAGCCCTGTTTTTGCTAAAGAACATTTTTTCTGCTGACGATGCCAAAGGGGATTGGTGGCTGCGGCGGTGGCGATGACGATGACAAAGTTGATGATGAATTCCATTAATCACTAGCAAACAAAGGACCAAATGACACTTTTTCAAACACACATAAAACACATTTCATCAAAGCTCTGCACGCTAAAGGCACAAAAATAACACAAACTCCCAATCTTTGTACACGCTTGAACACGTGTTATTTGGCCCTTATTTTTCTAGTGAATTGCGTGTCTCAGCAAGTGAGGGTTATGTCGCGGACCACATCAAGAAAATTGTGTGTCGACCCAACCTGCTATGACAAAGGAGCTCGGTAATGGTGGCAGCGGATGGGAGTATGTGGGAATGAGGAAGTGACGGAAAGTAAACCCCTTCGCATCGTTCAACAGATTATTCAATAGATTTGTCGCACTTTTCAACAATAAACACGCCATGCAAAGGCAGCCACCACCTGCGAAAGCGTGTGTGAGATTCTGTCCCGTACAGCGCGGCCCTGGGCAGATACTTCTATGAAAGTTCTTGACAGCTGTGGGATGGTTAGGATATTGGACAGGTAGATTTTAATCTATGCTTAGACGTACTGAATTGGAAATTCTTTACTTCTGCTTTTATTTACTTCAAGTAGGACATAGTGCAAGCCAGGCTTAGTTGAGCAGGCCACCAGGAAATTCGCCATAGGTGGGCCAGCTGGGTCCAATAAGGCGCACGGGCCCTGGCGGAAGGGCTGCGTCTGAAACAAACAAATTGTTGAGGTGTGTTCCACACTCGAGATCCAGAAGAACAAAGCTGCAACAGACGTTGTTCCTGTCAGAGGCACATTGCACGGCGGTGTACACCCGGATGATGGTCGGTTCGATTGGTCCGTTGATTGTCAAGAGTGGACCCCCAAGTCAAGAGAAAGAACAGTTTGTCCCCAATTGGGCTCTAAATCCATTTAAGTCTGCACAAACCGGCAACTAAAATGCTGGTTCCACTAGGAAAAAGAGGGCCAAATAGCTCGTGTTCAAACGTGTCCAAAGTTTGCGGGTTTGTGTTGCTTTTGTGTTCTTAGCGTGCAGAACTTTGATGAAATGTGTTTTATGCGTGTTTTCAAAAGTGTCATTTGGCCCTTTTTTCCTAGTGATCCTGCTTTCCAACGCCTAGAATACGCAGCATTAATTGCCCATTCTGAAGTTCAAGTATAAAGCAATGCAACAAGTAGCACGCCAAGTTGATGTATTCCTTCTCCATCATGAAACTTCATCGTTTGTGAACATTTGGCTGAAATTGCGGCCATGAGCCCAATCATGTAGCAGAAAGTCAAGTCGATGCATTCGGCACTGTGGATTTGGCAGCACTTCTTAGTGAGTTGCCTGAAGCCTGCAAGCACAAATTATCGAAGCTGCTACGAAGCGGCCGCTTTTGCGATCCTGAGGAGCCTCGAGATCCTGAGGATTTTTGTGGTGCGGGAGAGAACTCGCATGCCTGGTACCAACAGAGCTGGCATCGGATTGGCTTTCCCAAGCTTGGACAAAGGAGAGGCGCATATCCAACGAGATCCGCAGGGATTGGGAAATGTGAGTGGCACCAAAAATGTGTATTCCACATTGTGCTAAACTACAGGAGCATGGGAACAATCGACTGGGGATACAGGAAGAAATACCAGATGTTAAACATACTTTGTACTTCAGCAATGTACTAGCTCATGAATGCGAAATAGCGGGAAGAATTGGCGGCACGACAGGATCGCCATTCAGCTGTGACACACTGCACGGCCACTGCGTTACAACAATGTATGCGCCGGAGTTGTTGCTGCTGCTGCTGCTGCTGCCAGTTGGAGGTTTTCAGTGGTGCAGCTCCTTGCAATCTGACCGTTATCAGATTGACAGGAGCTTCAAGTACTTGGTATGGGTTCCTGCAGTGAATAAATGTTAAGCAAGGGGGAGATATTCTCACTTCGCGTTCAGAAAGAATAATGTCGACCGAACGTATTCTTGATGGGCGATCGCACCGCTGAATGCTGATCCACCATAGCCCACTGTTTCAGCAATTCCAAGCTCATAATTCACAATCCATTGCTTACATGTGGCTGCAGCAAGCGCTCGTGAAATGCCACGAAACCTTAAATAAATAAAGCAAAATAAAGTAAAACGATAATTGATAAATAAAATTATGGCGCTCTGGGCCAATCCGCAGAAAGCGCCGCCAACACGATGCGTGCTCAGGGTGCGATGCTCCGAAAATCGTATCTCAAGACTTGGTAGCTCGCTGGGCCATCAATGTATTTCAGCTATCCTCGATCTGCAAGATTTGATCTGATCTGCCGGTCAGAACTCAAGTAGGTCTGTCGCAGGAGAGACTTGCGCGTCACCTAGACCTGCCAGTGGAATGGAAACTTGATGTTCGGCCATCTCCGTACTACCATCGTTCATATGCCCTTCCGCTTGCTCTCATCCCCATTTTAGGCGAGAAACGCAAGAAATGTGGTATCTGTGCTGTGCATCATCTGAGCCACAGTCCATACGATAGCCCCAGTCATGGGTCTCGAATTGCGTTCCGAGCAACATGCGGCAGCGGGCAGATGCAACTCCGCCTTTTGCGGCAGTGCCCAAGGCATGCCGACTGTGAACCAAAATCAATCAATCAATTTGATTGTTTTTCTTTTAGAATTTATGGAGCTCTCCAATTGACCTCACGATATTCAACGGCCCGTGTTCTTTCAATTCAACGCTGTATTCATCAGCAGTTTGTATTTGAGCTTCGGTGCTGCAGAATGGACAAATCTGGGCAATAATTTTTATTGATCAAGACAGGAGCTGATGGGCACATCCCTACTTCTGCATATGTTATTTTTTAAGTGGAATAACTGATGTTGCAGAGTTTCAGCAGCGGCAAATCTTTTAACCACGTCAAGGAATTGAATCAAAACACTAATCAATACGCCTCTCTTGAATTTGGGCATCGGTTTTCCCATTCTCCGCACCTATTGAGCGCAATGCTCAAACCATCTCTTGGAGATTCTGCGCCTCGCAGCGTTGGGAAAAGAAATGAAGTCAGGTATGCAGAGAGGAGGAGTTGCTCCCGAATGCTAAGGGACGCATCGAGCTCTGGGAGACTCCCTTTTCGACGCAGATGCACGGATTCATGTGCAATACGTAGAAGACGCTTTGATGGGCACGACTTGTTCATGGCGACGGCAGACACGCGGGACAGGTCAATGGCCACTCGCTCTCGACAAATGCCACGCCACTCATTTGAGCGCCGTCCATGTGATGTCAGGACCCCCGAACACTGCACGGGCTTGAACGGGCACGCCGCCTCGCCGCCCCTCCCAATCGCCACAGCCTCGCGAGGACGCCGCCCGCAAACTGATGAAAAAGGGCGGAGCAAATAAGGCCCAAAGAAGCAGGAAGAAGGGACGACAAAGGGCAGGTGCTCGTTGAAGCATTTTCACTGAGGTCTTGACCCAAGCGCCCTTTCTGGAAGCGGGGAGATCTCCTGCCTGGTTTCCACACAAGGAGGAATTGAGCTCCAACTTGGATCCCAAAGCGCCCCAGCGCTTCATGCGGTCGTTCAAGTACGTCATCCTGGGCGGCGGCGTTGGAGCGGGCTACGCCGCGCACGAATTCGTCAGGCGGGGGCTTGCCCCAGGAGACCTCTGCATCATCTCCTCGGAGGCCGTTGTGGCCTACGAGCGCCCGGCTCTTAGTAAGGGCTACCTGAATCCCGAAAATGCCGCCAGACTTCCCGGTTTCCACACATGTGTGGGCCTGGGCTTGGGGCGGCAGGATCCGGGTTGGTATGCCGAGCGCGGCATCCAGTACTTAACGGGGGTCACGGTCACGGACGTCGACGTAGCTGGTAGGAAGCTGAGGATTGGAGGTGCGGACGAGGTGACGTACGGGAAGTTGCTGGTGGCGACGGGGTCGAGGCCGGTGACGCTGCAGGAGCACGGGACGCCCGGATGGGATCTGAGGGGGATCTTCTATTTGAGGAATCTGGCGGACGCTGAGAGGATGATGCAGGGGATCAAGGAGTGCAAGGCGAGGGACGGGCGGGCGGTGGTCGTGGGGGCGGGCTTCGTGGGTATGGAGATCGCCGCCGTGTTGAGGCAAAATGGCCTGGAGGTAATGGGCCGTCAGCATCATCATCATCATCGTTGTTATTCCGGTGTAAAAGTAGCCGGCCTCTACGTCCGTTTTCACGTAAATATACGTAAATACGCTGCATACGTAATATGCGCTGTGCTTGCGCCGCAAACAGCAAGCCCGCCGTCGACTCCCACGACTTAGGCCACTTTCCATGAAACTGAATTCGCGTCTGTTGGAACACCGCGGCGATCTAAGTTTGCTTTGATATCCAGCGGTCTGGAGATCCTCTTAAGATTTAAATCTCAGTTTAATATTAAATTTACCTAATTTAAGATCTAAATTTAGATCTGCCGCTGGTCGTTTCCCAACAGCGCCAACACCCTCTGCCTGCCATAAACTAGGTCGCCATGGTATTCCCCGGAGGCATGCTGATGGATCGCATGCTGCCCCCGGAGGTGGCCACCTTTTACGAGGACTTCTACCAGAACAAGGGCATCGAGATCTGCTGGGGCCAGAAGGTGTCGGAGCTCCACGGGCGCGACGGACACATTGAGGCTGTGGAGACCACGGAGGGACAGATGCTGAGTGCTTCTATGGTGGTTGCGGGCATTGGTGAGCCTCACAAGTGCTGCCGGCGGCGCCGCCAGAGCACGGGCCCATTTATAGCACGTTTTGCTGCGCCCGACGCGGTTCAAAGGGTGTTTCACGATCTGTTTACAGATGTAGTATACGGTGATTTACGGTTCACGCAAATAAGGTATTCACTATTTCCGCTGTTTTATCGCAGGCCACTCCACTGGCAAACAATCTCAAGCGTCTTGTCATCAGTTATTAATCTTCTTTGGAATTTCTGAAGAGCATACGTTTCTAGATACATCCCACTAACACTTAATCATCTGGAATGGGAATTTACTCTCTTGTGCATTGCAACCACCGTACACCCAACCTGTGCAGCATGCAATTGCAAGGCTGCTAATGGAAATGTTCTGTCAAAACGCAATTAAACTCAACGAAGTCGATGACTAACCACCTGTCAATTGCCTTAATCCATTGCACTCCGCGCTTTGCTTTTCGTTTCCAGGCGCCCGGCCAAACAAGGAGCTCTTCACCGGCCAGCTGGACATGGCCGCCGGCGGCATCACGGTGAATGGGAAGCTTCTCACCAGCGACCCTAACGTTTACGCAATCGGCGACGTGGCGGCATTCCAGTTGACGCGATACAGCGGCAACTTGCAGCGCCAGGAGCACGTGACCAACGCGCGGCTGACCGCCATCCACGCGGTGTCGGCCATCATGGATCCCGAAAACACCGTAGACTACGACTACGTGCCCTACTACTACTCCAGGTGAATATGCTATATTTTCATACCTCAGTATTTTCAATTGTGATTTACATTTTTTGTACGTACATCCACAATTCTGAGCCAAAGCGGCAAATCGCCCTGCACACGCGAGGCGGCATCTGGCCTGAGTATGCATGCATCTTGAAATTCGGCAGGGGTTGAAGCAATGCTGATGAGGGTTGACGCAAGGGAGCCATTGAAACAACGGCCCTCAATATTGGCGAAGGGCCCTTGAAGCGGTGGCTCTTGGCGTCGGCGTTTATCAACCCTTCGACAAGGCATCTTGATGCAACATTCCCAAACAAGCAGTGTTCCAGCAATGCTGCATCAGCGATCCATTCATCAGCCCGGAGATGCATCCAGAAATGTGGCAGGTTTCGATGCACCATTGATAGGCCCGGGCCTATCATCCAAGGGTACAAGGGCTTTTGGATCAACGCAAACCTTCAGACCTCGTGTCTGTAGAGCGGCGTTGGTGCAATGGCCTGTCAATGTTGTACCAGCGCCTACCAGATTTCCGGTTGTGCAGAGTGTCCCAATGTCGGACATTCAGGATAGGTTGTCACTCATCGGTTGTCATTTACTGTTGTGTTTGTGTTTTGTTTTGGTATGTTGTATTTTCTTGATGTTCGATACTAATTGCTGTTGTGTTGCGGGGTTGTTTTTGAGTGTGGTGCTTATGTGCTGTCAACACTGCCAAGGGCCGACGTGCAAAGTGTTTGAGTGCTTGTGTTTGAGCGTTGCCACAGATAGCCACTCTTATCAGCTGGGAGTTAGCAAATCGAAGAAATCTATTCAGCGAATGTATAAGAGACAACATCATAAAAAGTTCCAATGCTGCGGATTCGCCAACTGATAGGTAGAAAGTCGAAAGAAACTACCGAAGTGAACAAACACTATTTTTTCATAATATGATTTCTTCAAGAAATTCTCTTGTAAGCAAAACAAGGAACTAATCCAAATATCACCCGTTTTCAGATTTTTCTCACTGTCCTGGCAATTCCACGGCATCAACAAGGGCAAGGGCGTGCCCTTCGGAAGCCAGAAGGATGAGAAATTCGGCCTGTACTGGGTGCATGAGGGCCGCGTTGTGGCTGCATTTTTGGAGGGCGGCAGCGACGTGGAATTCAAATGGGTCAAGGCGGTGGCGCGGGAGCGACCCAAGGCGCCCTGCGAGGAGGAGCTGGAGGATATGGGGCTGGAGTTTGCAGCCAAAGTGGCCAATGCCGGATGAGGGGAAGAAGGGCGTGTCGCGGAAAACGCGGTTCAAAGAAATGTGGTTGAAAGTGATGTAGTATATTATCTCTTGTGCCGGCTTTGCTGGAAAGTGTAGTGAGTGTGGGAGGGGCGCAAGTAACTGGGGATTGGAACAATAAACGTGAGTTGTTGGTTGCGGGTAGGTTTTGTGCAGTGGACTGGGCTATCGTTCTGAATTTGTGTGGCTATTCAGTGTCTGTTGTTAGCCATTGAGCTGGTTATGAACACGGGAGAGTGTTGGACGTCTGGCTGTGCTTGCGCAGCTCCAGCTAGGTAGGCAACAGCTAAATGCATCTTGAAGTAGTTGACAGCGTTGGGCAACCCAGAGGCTCATGGGTTCGTGATTCATAGCCACCACTGATTCAGGAAAAGGGCGCCAAAGGGCCAAGCCACGCGAACCTAATTTTATTTTAAATCAATTATGTGTCGTGCGCAGACTGGGATCTTCATTTTGCAACAGAAAACACACAAACAATGTCGTGCATGGGCGCGAGAATGTGAAGAAAACATATGCAAGATAATTTGGAGAAATACTTTCATTCAAAATTGTACCAGATTTCTAGTGGATCGCTGAAGATCCCGTGAGCTTTCAGATATCACTTATCTCCCCCGGCCAATCCAGATTGGAGCATCTCCTTGGCCAATTCTCTCGGCTCTCAGATCCCGCATTGAGATAAACATCGAATGCGCATCAACTTTCCAGTTCATTTCCGAATTCGAAGGTCCCATTGCCACAGCTCTCGACACTAGCGGAAAAAAGACTAAATAGCACTTCTTGCGAGCACACATATATGCATTTCATCAGTGTTGTGAACGCTAAAAGCATGGAAAAACTCCCAAACACGTAAATTTTGTGCACGTTTGAACATGTGCTATTTGGTCCTTTCTTTCCTACTGATTTCCTACAGTTGCTGTGAATACTAGGACAAAAAGGGGCAAATAACAGGTGTCCAAACGAGTACAAAATTTAAGGGTCTGTTTTTTCTTTGTGTTCTTAGCATGCAGCACTTTGATGAAATGTGTTTTATGTGTGTTTGCAAAAGTGTTCGTTGATCCGTTTTTTTGCTAGTGGAATGTTCCGGCCAAGCACCGAGCAACGATGCTCGACATACGGTGAACGATATGAATCGCTTCCGAAGAACCGTCTGAATGGGCGAAGGGCACGAACGCAGCAACAAGAGCTCACCGTATGTCGAGCATCGTTGCTCGGTGCTTGCCCGGAGCATTTCACTGTTGCAGCAAAGGCTTGAGAGTACCTTTCCAGAAGCCGGTTGGAACGTGCAACAAATCGCTCAAAGCGTGTCGAATGTTGCAATCCGGAAAGTTTGAGCCTTGCTCGGTGTGAAGTGCTTCCAGCATTGGAAACTCAAATTTGTGTTGGGTGCAACATTTGAAATGTGGAATTTTCTGACTGAGAACGCGAGCGACCTCGATGTTTTCTTCATTCAGTATTCATGGCCGCATCTAAAAATATGTGAGATATGCAAGATACGTGAGAATCTCACGTATCTGATACGTAAGATATGTAGGACACGTGAGATACGCAAGATACGTAAGATACGTAAGTAATGCAAGATATGCAGGCTACGTAAGATATGCAAATTAGGCAAGTTACGTAAGATACTTCAGATATGCAATCTCATATTGCATACTGATAGCGCACGCCCAGTGCAACGACTTCAATGCGCGCTTATTTTGGGCTGCAGGATGACGCTGTCCGTTTGTTTGGCGCACCGCTTTTAATAAGCTGAGAGAAACGTCGGGGATGGGGCGCAGGACCGGGGTTCTGAATTGCCTTGGCAACAACTAAGAATTTGATGTCGCATAGATTACAGGATAATGAAGCTTGTGAATTACATAAAATTATGCATTGCGTGAACAGGAAGATTGGATGCGGCAAGTGCTGGGCAAATTGCAAGCAATAAATGCCGTAAAGTGAAGGTAATATAATAAACAACACTGTTTGATATTGTAGGAAAAAAGGATTCTATTTGTATTATTCATAACACTGCACCAAATGCTGCATGAGGTAGTATGGTGTGTTAAGCATAAGCCACATTTATTATGTTGCAATGGAATTTGTACATTGCCCTAATAGATCCAACGCATCGGCAGATTCAATTTATAAGCAGATATTTCTGAAGGGTGCAAATCCCAATCCAAACACGAGGTAAGGCATGGCGCCGGCAACCGATTAGTGCAAAAGGAGGTCCCTTAAGTTATCGCCATTGACTTCCCATTATGTAAATAAATATTCCCTTGTTACTGTGAACACAATTATTCAATTTGACGCAAACCGACAAAAAGTTGGCCTCTTGTCAGTCTTTAGGCTGACAACGGCATGGGAACGCTGTCTGCGTGACGCTTAAGCAAACTTGAGGCTGGGTCAAACGCAAGGCTAAATTGCCTCAAATTGAATTGGAGTCAACTAGTGTTCCATGGATTGCATTTGAGGGGATTGTGTGGCACTGGCGCATCGACGAGGAGCTGACCCAAGGAACTTTATAGATTCTTGACATCAGGATTTCAAATATTCCCAGATTTTGTTTGCGTTATACCTTAGGTTTCCATGAACAAGTCATAGACACCGCTTTGCTCAGGCGAAATAGGGATATGGCGGCGACCTCATTGCCTTGTTATGTAGTAATGTTGATGATGATCCAAGGAACAGTTGGGTCAGTTGGGCCACCACTGACCACGCTTGCTCACACATTCCACATCTCAGCTGCGAGCTGAGTACGATTTGTGCCGATCTCAGCTAAGCCTTTCGCAGAGCCGCTCGGCGAAGTATATTGATGACAGTGGCGGCGCTGCACTGGACCCTCCCGCGTGCCGGAAAGATTGTGGCGGCTCAATTGGGTGCCCTTGGTGGTACAAACATATACTGAGCCTTGTAGCCCATGTTCCCAATAGAGGGTTTTGGAGGGTCTTGGCCATACCTCCAGCATTCCCCAAGCCACAATCGATAGCCTTCAAGGAAAGAGGCCAAAGAGAAAGGGCGGCAAGAAGGCGAACCCCTCCAAGAGCGCAGAGGCGGTTGATATTCTTCTCTCGGCCGTTGGCACCCCCGCGAGAGGCACCCAAAGACAAGTACCCCGGACAAAGCAGCCCAAGCCGCCGCCTCCTGGAGTTCTGTACCTCCAGATGCTCACGTTCAAATACGTGATTCTCGGCGGCGGCGTGGCGGCGGGTTACGCCGCGCGGGAATTCCTCACGCGGGGCCTGGGCCCCGGATTGCTGTGCATCATCTCCTCGGAGCCCGTCGTGGCCTACGAGCGCCCCTGCCTTAGCAAGGGTTTCCTAAGGCCCACCGGCGCTGAGCGCCTACCCGATTTTCACACGTGCGCGGGCAAGGGTTGGAAGACCCAAGACAAGGATTGGTATGCCCGACACGGCATCCAGTACTTTGTGGGCGTCACTGTGACCAAGGCCGTCGTGTCGGGGTCCAAACTACTGTTGGACAACGGGGAGGAGGTTGAGTACGGCAAGCTTATTGTGGCAACGGGCGCCCGGGCGGTGACGCTGAGGGATTTGGGGATGCCGGGGTGCAGTTTGAAGGGCGTGCACCACATGCACTGCCTGGAGGACGCAGAAGAGATTGTGAAGAGCATTGAGAGCTGCAAGCGCCAGGGCGGGCGGGCGTTCATCATCGGGGCGGGGTACATTGGCATGGAGGTGGGCGGGGACGGGAGGCCGCGGGCCCATGCGGCGGTCTGACGTAATTCGGCAATGGTGGCTTAGAAACTGCCGCTGACATGTCTACCATAAACTTTTGAATTCATGAGTTTGCGCTTACCTGCGCAAATGTTGGATACACTTCATTTCCGGACGAAGATGATGAAGGTTATGAAGGCGATTTCCTTTGTTTAGTTTTTAGGGACCGTGTGTCCTTCATGCCCCTTTCATCACCTTCATATCCGTAATGTTGTGTATCGGAAAATGCTGCGTCTGCACACAAATCGCCGTGTCTCAGCCCTTCGCAGCGTAAGAATAGTAAAAACAGTAAGAACAGGCCAAACTACACTGCTTGAAAATCGTGTAACGTGTAGCGCGACTGAAAATGGTGTTAGAATGTGTTAAATTGGGAATTTGTCGTGCAAAAATGGTACACACGGTGTGGTAGAGATTGATTTTGGGCACATGATTTTTACGCGATCTTTTGGTACGATTCGAAAACGCGTATTTCCGCCGAATTTCTACTTGCGGCAGGGCGGCCCGCACCCCACCGACAAGGGCGCTTGGGCTACCGTGCGCAAGAGCAACCTGCTCTGTGGCAGCATGTCACGATATCTGGCACTCTTTGCGGGGCGGAATGGCACTCGTATCGAATATTGATATCGGATATCAGTTTCCCGTATCGGTGGATCGATTCCACGGCGACCTAGACCAGCGCGGGCCTCAGCTCACGAACGCAAGTAGAAAATCGGCCAACATACACGTTTAAGTTTACAGGATTTCGAGCCGTGTGAAAATCAAGTAAAACAGTGTCAAAATGTGTAAAACTCGTGTACACTCACTCAATCGTTACTGCACGGCTTGCCCCCATTTTATACGATAAATGCGCGATACGTACACGATACAACACGGTTTTACGCATATCCAATCATGTTACACGGCACACGACATTCAAAGCCGTGTGGTTTGGCCTGTGTTTTACTGGTGATTGTCTTGAAACGGTGGCCGCCCGGCGCCGTACTGGGCCCGCTTTGCCTCGAAATTGGCGGCGGAATGATCAAAGCCGCTTCCGCGGTGCTTCCGCGGTGCTTTTGCGGTGCAGTTCATCACCTGCGACAACGCAACATAAGCAATCCTGTCAACTGCATCAAGTGATTCTGTTTGCCTCGCGCACCTGCAGAGGACGTTAGAAGATGTTTAAAGGGCTCGGAGCTAATAAAACATTACAAATGTCCAAATGTTCAAAATGTTCGAATTGTTCGACATGTCCAAATTTTCCAAGCCCCTTGGAATTTTTATATA